TAAGGTATTGTACTGAGATAAATATTATTTTCACCGGCTCTTTTTTGTTCATTACTGTACTTTAAATAACACTATTCTGTGGTGTTTAGTCTGAGGTATTCAGCAGGCACTGGTTGGAACAAGTTATCAACATTTCTTTACTGCGGGAGATTGGATTTTCCAGATCAGGTTTGTTTTAATTCAAAATTTGATTCAAAAAAAGTGTAATTGTCTACCTACCGATAAAGCCACTTTTGCAACTTCGAGCAAATTATGTTTTCTTGAAGTCTTAATGAGAAATAGAACACTGCTGCTTAACTTCACCTTCCTTTTGGTTTCACAATACTCAAATTGATTTCCTCCTTTTATTACAAATGTACAAACTATCACATTGTCAAGTATTAAGTTAGTTGCAGACACTCAATGTTTACATTTAGTAGAATCTGAAACAAGTAGAGCTACTACCCGAGGTACTAGCAAACTGGCCAAGGGTCAACAAGATTGAAGAGGTAAACACGTGGCTCAAAGACTGATGTAGGAAAAATGGGTTTGAATTAATGGGACATTGGCATCAGTACTGGGGAAGGAGGGAGCTGTTCTGATGCGATGGACTCCACCTGAATCATGCTGGGACCAAAGTCCAGGTGAATTGCATAACGAGGATTGCAGATATGGCTTTACACTACATAGAGGGGAGGGGTGGGTTCAGTTGCATGAAAAATTATGGAAAAGGTTAAGGAGGTGGGGCTCAGAAGTTATTAATGTTTCCCAAATAACTAATATGACAGAGTATGGAAAGGGGCAGGAATCTAACTCCGTTACAGCAGACAAGGGGACAACTGTGAGAAAGGGGGAGGGATAGTAAATGCAGGACTGAGGGTTTTGTACTTAAACGAGTGCATAATACAAAATAAGGTAAGTGAGCTTGCAGCGCAGATTGAAATTAGGTGAGATATTGTGGGTACTGCAGAGTCATGGCTGCAAGGAGATCAAAGCTGGGAACTAAACATCCAAGCATACACATTCTATCCAAAGGACAGGCAGATGGACAGAGGGCAGGGTTGTCTTGTTAGTAAGAAATGATATTAAATTGATAGCAAAAAGAGAGTCAAAAGGTGTAGAATCTGAGAGTGTAAAACTGAAGAACCACAATGGAAGAAAGATCCTGATGGGTTATGTACAGGCCTCCTAATAGTAGTCAGGATGTGGAGCAGAAAACAATTCAGAAGATAGAAATGACATCATTTCAATAATCATGAGGGAGGTCAATATGCAGGTTGACTGGGAAAATCATATTGGTAGCAGGTAGAGCTGTACAGCAAGGCAGCAGACCCTTAGGTCCAACTTGTCCATGACTACAAAGTCTCACAAACTAAACTAGTCCCATTTGGCTGCATTTAACCCATATCCCTCTAAACCATTCCTTTTCATGTACCTGTCAAATGTCTTTTAAATGTTGTAACTATACCTACATCTACCACTTTCTCTGGCAGTACATTCCACACACGAACCACCTTATTCAAAAACGTTGCCCCTCTGGTCTCTCAAATCTATCTCCTCTCACCTTAAAATTATGCCCTCTAGTTTTAAATGCCCCAACTCTAGGGGAAAGACTTGACTATTCACCTTACCTATGCCTGTCATGATTTTATAAACCTCCACAGATCTCAAGGAAAGGAATTTGTGAATATCTACAAGAGGGTTTTTTAGAGCAGCACGTGATACAGCCCACAAGAAAACAGACAACTCTGGATTTGGTGATGTGTGATGAGGCAAACTTGATTAGAGTGCTTAAGGTAAAAGAACCACTAGTGTGAAGTGACCGTAATATGATAGAATTCACCCTGCAGTTCGAAGGGGAGAACCACGAATGAAATGTAACAGTATTACAATTGATTAAGCTAACTACAAAGGCATGAGGGAGAAGTTGGCCAGAATTTTTTGGAAGGGAAGCCTAGCAGGGAAGATAGTGGAGCAGCAATGGCAGGAGTTTCAGGAAGTAATTCGAGAGGCATAGCAGAAATGCATCCCAAGGAAGAAGAAACATACTAAGGCTGACAAATGAACTCAGGGACAACATAAAAGCAAAAGAAAATGCATACAGTATGGTGAAGACTAGTGAGAAGCCAGAGGTTTATGTAGCCTTTTAAAAACCAGAGGATAACTAACAAAGGTGGAAGTAGATGAAATGAGGCTAAACTAGCTAGATATTGCATGGATGTGCATGGTAAAATGGGGCTTCATCAAGGGGAGATCACGTCTGACAAATCTGTTAGCATTTGCTGAGGTGGTAACGAGCAAGTTAGACAAAGGAGAGCCAGCGGACATGATCTATTTGGATTTCCAAAAGACCTTTGACAAGGTGCCGCACAGGAGGCTGCTAAATAAGACAAGAGCCCACGGTGACCAGTGGAGTTTCACAGGGGTCAGTGTTGGGACCACAATTATTCATGTTATATATTAACAATGTGGATGAAGGAACTGAGGACATTATTGCCCAGTTTGCAATGATACAAAAGACAGTGGAAGGACAGGTAGTGTAGTGGAAGCAAAGAGGCTGCAGAAGGACTTAGACAGGCTAGAAGAGTGGGCAAAGAAGCTGCAGATGGAATCCAATATTGGAAAGTGTGATGTTATGCACTTTGGTAAGACAAATAAAGGCATTGACTATCTTCTAAAATGGGGAAAGGTTTGGGAAATATTAAATAAAAGGCTTAGGAATCTTTGTTCTGAATTCACTTAATGTTCACATGTAATGTCACTAGGTAGGAAAGCAAATGCAAGGTTGGCATTCATTTCAAGACAGCTAGAATTCAAGAGCAGAGATACACTGTTGAAGCTCTAAGAGGCTCTGGTTAGACTGCATTCGGAATATTGTGAGCAGTCTTGAGCCCGTATTTAAAGAATGTGCTGGCATTGAAGGTGGTCCAGAGGAGATTCAAAAGAATAACTGCAGGGATGAAGGGTTCGTCAAATGAGAAACAGTTGAAGACTTTGGGTCTATACTTGGAGTTTAGATGGATTGATGGCGGGGGGAGAATCTCATAGTATCTTGTCAGATTCAGAGAGGGCTCGATAGAGAGTACTTGGAGAAGATGTTTCCATAAGTCGGAGAGACTAGGACCTGAGGGCACAGCCTCAGAGTGAAGGGATGACTCTAGAATGGAGACGAGGAGGATTTCTGTCAGCCAGAGGTAGTTATCTGTGGAACTCAGCTTCCGCAGCATTCTGTGGCAATGAGTCATTGAATGTATTTAAGACGCATAGGTTCTTGATTGATAAAGGGGATCAAGAATTACAAGGAGAAAAGACAGGGCAACACGGTTGACAGCCATGATTGAATGGCAAAGCACACCTGATGGGCTGAATGGCCTAATTCTGTGCCTATGTCTTAAGCATCTTTATAAGGCCATACAATCATAATGTCATAAAAATATAATGTTTGTGCCATATCAGATACAATGTACAATGCAGCACAAACCTACAATGCGTCACTCTGGTGAACATTTAACTCAGTGGTCTGTAATGCATAGCAAAACTTCAGTAAAACAGCACTAGAAATTTAGGCAGCAGCTTTCCTGTTGTCTTTTCTTACCCAAGAAACCAGAATATCAGTAAAGTTTACTTCGGTGTGTATGCAAGGCTTTTTAGTTGTTCCTCTGAAACCAAGACACTTACACAACTCAATTTTATCCAAAAACTTTTGTCAATAGAGAATTTTAAGCTTCTGCAACACTGATGATTCAATTAGTCATAAATAGCATTATGTGATTTTGACAATGGTGCTCTCCATAGCACATTTGTTTCGATCTCTCTGCAGCTTTTGGAGGAACATGTACAGGAAGAGGTCATCCTCCTCCAACACCATCTTTACCATGTTACTTTTGGATGTCTAGACAATACCACCATCACTCCTTACCCACAATCAAATGATTACTTTGAACGCTAATAACACCCAGCTACCTCCATTTCTCACACACCTTCGAGTTATGTCAATCTACTCATTTGACACCTAATCATGAATAAGCTACTTCAGCCAAAATACAGACACACCAAAGGTATCAGCCTCTCCACAAACTCTAAATGTCACTACACTCTTTTAAAGGCTCTCCATAAATCCCACTCAAAGATCAAACTACTAAAACACAGCCTAACAGGATCCTCTTTTGGCCTATCAATTTTCGGTATACCCCACATGAAGCACCAGTCAGTGGTCATCGACATTAAAAGGTGCTGCGAAAATCACTAGTCCAGACAACAAGTCCAGAATGTCATCAGAAGTGAAAATCAACTGAGTAGCATTAAAACATAAAGACGGCAACTAGATGAAGTAGCGAGTAACCATTTGGGACCTGGGTTCAAATCCTGACTGGACTGACAAGAAACTGTGGCCAGTTTAGCAGCTCAGGAGGTTTTAAACAGCCCCGAAAGCGGATTCTCAGCATACTTCAAATGATTGAGGATGGGCCTACAGCGTAAAACTAAATTAATCAGAATTCAGGTAACTCAGAATGCAAAAGCCCTTTGCATTATCAGGAATGAAGGTGAGAGGGAGACAACTTTCCCCAAATTGTTAAAGAACCATTTTTTTCCTATTAAATAAAAGCCTCGGACTCCACCCACCCGGATTCTCATTTGTCGCCACCTAAACAGCAACAGTCTGTAAGGTTGGGCCTACCTTCACTGTCAGGCGAAGAGACGAAGGTGAAGTCCCCATTGTTGGGACTGAAATGCTGCCGCGGCAAATCGCCTCCGTGCGGGTTCATGCCGCCGGTGCCGCTGAAGCGGGTGGGGGTTGTAACCGGGCCGGGGGTCGAGCCCGCGCGAGCTTCTACCGTTAACCGTTCGCCACTCTCACGCAACACCACGACCGCCCCGAATACGTCACAGGGACACGGGCACCACGGACGAGAACACGACGCGCCTGCGCACAACCATCTTCCACGGGGCGCGGCCCGTGTAACATCACATGATATTCACCCCGCCCTCTCCAAAACCACAGCCGCCAGACTGCCAACGACATTCCAACAAAACCCTCTCCCATTGGATCACGCCAAAAACCAACCGGAATGTGCTATGCTCACCCGAATTTTTGGCGGGTAAACACCAGAGCGTCTTTAAATGTGTACTAACAGTGACATGATGGTGCTTTTGTATGAATCGTTTCTAATATCGAATAACAGATGGTGCCAGGAATGTTAACGAAGTTGTGGTCTGTATTGATGAAGTAGGTATCGCAAAAATGTACCAAACAAACTACTGGTCGTTTAATCAATTTAAATGATCCCTGTACGCTCGGCGATGTCAGCGCCTGTGGATGTGAGTCGGTGCCGGCCGGGGTCACGGCTGCGAATGTCTTCTTTTGTATTGCTAGATATTTCAAACTAATGTTCTTCACGGGGCTGAGTTTAATGGGAAATCGATCCGGCCCTCCTCCCACCCCGATCATTCATTTATCGTTTGATCCACCCAGAGGAGCCACTGGCTTCTGCAATATGGCCTATGGTTTCTGCTCCGATCATTTCCAACTGCATGGTGCAGGGCTGGATGAACACAGCAGGCCAAGCAGCATCATAGGAGCAAAGAGGCTGACGTTTCGGGCCTAGACCCTTCATCAGAAAAGGGGGAGGGGAAGGGGGTTTTGAAATAAATAGGGAGAGAGTGGGAGGCGGATAGAAGAGGGATAGAGGAGAGGATAGGTGGAGAGGAAACAAACAGGTCGAAGAGGCGGGGATGGAGCCAGGAAAGGTGAGTGTAGGTAGGGAGTTAGGAAGGGGATAGGTCAGTCCAGGGAGGACGGACAGGTCAAGGGGGCGGGATGAGGTTGGTCGGTAGGAGATGGAGGTGCGGCTTGAGGTGGGAGGAGGGGATAGGTGGGAGGAAGAACAGGTTAGGGAGGCAGGGACGAGCTGGACTGGTTTTGGGATGCGGTGGGGGAAGGGGAGATTTTGAAACTTGTGAAATCCACATTGATACCATTCGGCTGCAGGGTTCTCACCTATCCGCCTCCCACTCTCTCCCTATTTATTTCAAAACCCCCTTCCCCTCCCCCTTTTCTGATGAAGGGTCTAGGCCCGAAACGTCAGCCTCTCTGCTCCTATGATGCTGCTTGGCCTGCTGTGTTCATCCAGCCCTGCACCTTGTTGTCTCGGATTCTCCAGCATCTGCAGTTCCTACTATCTCCATTTCCAACTGCATCTTGCGTTTACATAAATCGCCACAAAAAACAAGCGCTTACCAGGTCGTTATGAAGTAAAATCGGACGCAGAATGAAATATTCAGTCAGTTTACCAAGAGCTAGATAGAAGAAGTGAATTTTAAAGAATGTTATAAAGAGAACATAAGCTGAGAGGTTCAGAAAGGGAATTCTAGAGGTTAGGGATGAAGGTATGGCCTTCTATGATGGCACGATTAAAACCTGGGATGCTCAAGGTAGCTTGAGTTGGTTGAGTGTAAATGTTTCTGGTTGTAGATTGCCTTTTTTATTGCCAAGCTGACCTTGTACCTTTTACTGGTGGAGTTTTGCCTCATTCCAATTATTGTCATGGCCCATTTAAAGACTCTTTACAAGCCCACTTGTATTTTACTTTGCGCATTATCATATCAAGATAGTGCAATAATTTAACGTAGGACAATTGGTGTATTGTTGCTAATGCCAGTGGATATAAAACGGTACAATAATGTGTTAAACGGTGGCTCGGATGACTGAATTAGTTTAAGCAATATGGCAGTATTTATCAATGCACTTGGAAAAAGCGGTTGTGGGAGCCACAATATAAAGTTTAGTGTAAAACCTTTGGAGAAGCATGTCAAATTTGATTTGGCACTTAAGTGGAAAACGAGTAATTATGATAGGTACATACGAAAGGAGAATTGTAAATAGAAACATTAAATGCTGGAAATATACAGTAGGGCAGGCAATATCTGTATTGAATCAGATTGTTAACTTTTTTTATAATGATCCTTCTAAAGTCCAGGTGTTTAAGAATAGATGTGCAGGTTATGTTTACCTCAACAGGCATGAAATTTAGTGAGACAGCAATGAGCTGTGACAGTCCCTGTGATCTTAAGTGTTCAGTTCAGAACGTCATGAAGCTGAATTAGACCAAAAATAAGTTATGTCAATTTCAGGGAGTTTAATTCTGGGTTTCATGTACTGCACCTTTCTGGTGCTGTGGTCACATTTTGATGCATTCAATCAGCATGGAACTACTTCCCACTCCCATCTGCACCTTATTTCAAGCCCAGCTGTGCACCTGCTCAATCATTGCCAGCCATGAATAGCACTTACACGGTTGATTTTTTTTTTTTATTGTGTACATGGGGTGGGGGAAGTCATGATCACAGTTACCTAATACGGGCAGTCAACAATTTGTAACCAATTTTTTAATGGTTTATCAGTTTTTAAGAAACAACAATTTAGATATGATAAACTAATTAGACAAAGAAAAGTATGTAACCATGACATTTGGGAATGGTTCACTGATAACAGAAGACAAAACAGGCTGTTGGCATGGAATGGTAAATGAAAATTATGAAAATTGCATCCTGCTCTCTAACTGAGATGTTAGGGAACTCTTCTCTGGGTCATTCTCCTCTTCCAGTCCACCTTCCTTCTGGATTAAACAACTGAGGACCCTCTGATGAGGAATATTGTTTAGCCTGTTCACTTGCTGACCTGCCTATTTCTAGAGGAAGGTAGCTTACACTATGTCACTCAATTTTCAGAATCCTTTTAGCCAATGGCCATGGGACAGCTAGTCATCTTGTCAAAATGTTAGTTTTCATTCCTCCAAAGAACCAAACCTTATTTTTCAAAACATTGCATTCATAAGAGGTAACAAGGTGTAGAGCTGGATGAACACAGCAGGCCAGGCAGCATCAGAGGAGCAGGAGAGCTGACGTTTCGAGTCTGGACCCTTCTTCAGAAAATTCATAAAAAGGTTGTGTGGCACCTGATAAATCTAGTAGACCATATTCAGACACATGTAGCACAAGCCATGTCACACAAGTACAGGAGATTTTAAGTGCAGTAGGATTCACGAACCCCTCCCAATCACCTGAGAAAGGCAACTTTGCATGTAAGAGCTTATTGGCAAATGCATACAGTTCAGGGTGAGAGAAAATCAGCAATGTAGCCTTGTGCAGCTTATGAGACTTTTGATTGTCTTTATGAATTGTGGCATGCAGGTGACACTTCACGCTGCCTGTGATTACTTTAGTTTCACAGAGATGTCTATGATCAATTTTTAATGACAGTCGAGATTGCTTTTGATCATGATTTATGTCCCACATTGTTGGTCACCACATGGATTTGACGTGCAGAATTTTATGATTACAGACATCGCTAACCTGTGCTATGTAAATATATGATTTATGTAATTGCCCCAGAAGAGCTTTGCATTGCTCAGAAGTAGAATCCATGTTCTCAGACTAGAAAACTTGTCTGACAGGAAACCAGCCAAAGTGACAGGTTTTTTTTTAGCATTTCCAATGCACATTTGCCATTTAGATGAGGATGAAAGGCAACATTGGTCAACTTTACAGAGTAAATCTGGCTCAGCCTTTTAATGTAGGTAACCAAGAAATAAGGCCCCTCACCCACCCCCCACCAAATGTTCATGTTGACTTTCTTCCTTGCACTCCATGTCGATCCCACCATTTCTGAGTTTTCACACATTTCTGCCGAACTCTTTCATTTTAAGTCTCCCGTCTTTGAACATTAGTTCCTGAACCCCAGGCATACAATTTAGGCATTCCAACTGTTGGCATGAGATCTGCATCAGTGAACAGATTTCCAGGGCTTACTGTGGTTCACCCCTGTGACCAGATTGGAAGAATAGCTCCAACTAATGAGTGACCAGATTTCTGAATGATCACCATGGAGCTTCCCGACTGCCAGACTGCTAACACCAGAGTGGTTGCACTGGACCTGCCAGACTGACTGTGACCCACTCTCCAGATTGTAATGATATGGCCTATACTCCAAGTAGCTGATCGTGTCCAAGCCCCTGGACTATGATTGGACACTGGCCTTGATCGACCGATGGGACTCCCTGATGGCTGATGGTCTCCCTTAAATTGACTGAGGACTTTGCAGTATCCAGTGCCTCCAAACACTTCTTGACATCACGTGGAGTGAAGCGAATTGGCTGAGGATTGGTATCCGTGAAGCTAGGGACCACTGGAGGAGGCTACAATGGATCATCCACTCAGCACTTCTGACTGAAGATTGATGCAAATGCTTCAGCCTTGTGTTTTGCACTGATGTGCTGGACTCTTCCAACTTGGAAGGGGATATTGTGGATCATCCTCCTCCAGTGAGTTGTTCAATTATCCATAACCATTCACAATGGAATGTTATGGGCTTCCAGAGCTTATATCTGATCTGTTGGTTGTGGCATACCTTAGCTTGACCACTCACTGCTTCTGGTAACTTAACCAGGTTGACACTTCATTTTTCCATATGCCTGAATCTGCACCTAACATCTCTCCTGCAATCTTCATTCAACCAAGGTTGATCCCCTGCCTTGATGATAGTGGTTGAGTGTGGGGTATGGCAGGCTATGAGATTACAGCTTGTGCTGGAGTAGAGTTCTGCTGCTGTTGATGGCCCACAGTGTGTCATGGATGCCTAGCCTTGAGTTTCTAGGTCTGTTTGATGTCTGTACTATTTAGCCAAGGTGGTAGTGCCACACAACACAATGGAGAATATTCTTGACGTGAAGGCCGGACTTAGTCTCCATAAGGGCTGTGCGGTAGTCACTCTTACCAATACTGTCATGGACAAATGCATTTGCAGCCGGCAGAATGGTAAGGATGAGGTCAAGTATCTTTACCCCTCTTGTTGGTTTCTTCACCACCTGCTGCACACCCAGTTTAGCAGCTATGTCTTTTAGGACCTGACCAGCTAAACCAAGAGCCTTTCTTAGTGGCCAACATTGAAATCCCTCATGCAGAGTACATTTAGTGCCCCTGCCACATTCAGTGTTTCCTCCAAGTATTGTTCTCACGGAGCAGTACTGATTTATCAGCTGAGGGAAGACTGTACATGGTAATTAGCAGAAGGTTTTCCGAAGCCATGAGGCTTGTACTTTGCTCCAGTCTAAATAAACTGCAAATTTGATATCACATACAACATTTGAGATTATGATTCTAATATTTATATTCAAATCATTTATGTACATGGCAGCCAACAATGATTCCGGTACAGACAGCATCCAATTTTCTGTCAATCTGAGAATCTTAATTCCCATTCTTTCTCTGTTTTGTAGCAGCTTTCAATTCATTCTGCTGCCTGGTCCAAATCTTTCCTCATTTTACCATTGTTGAAACTGTCGTTTATCAGCTTTTGTGACCTTATGAAAGTTTGTGTATACCACATTATTTCATTGTCCTTGTCTTCTTTTTGTGTTGCTTCAACAACTAATATGCTTAGTAAAAGTTTCCTTTCGGAAATATTTGTCGACATTTTATTGTATTCACTTCATATAAGTATTTTTTGTCTTGTTGTTTTACCAAGATTTTCCTCATGTATATGTCTTGCCACTGTCATGCATCAAACTAGATTAGGTGTGTCTCTTTAAAGATAAGAATTACTTTCAAACTCTTATTTTTAAAACTGTACTTTGATCACTACTACTCAACTGTTCTTTAATGCTTGCTTTTCTTATCTGCTCTGATTTATTTTCCATTTTGAAGTCTAGCAGTACGTCCTTGTTGAGCACCTTGCAAACTGTGTTAGCAAGGAGTCGTTTATATGCAGTAAATATTTCAACCCGGTTGGCTCCCTCCCTGTCAGTTTATTTGAGGATAATTGAAATCCCCATGAATATAATTGCCTTTTCCTCACCTATTTGCTGATATATTTCTTTCCACAGTTTGATTGTCTGCAATGTGATCACCAAATGACTTTTCATATTCTTCATTTTAGATGAATCATTATGTTTTGCATCAGCTGTGAGTTCCCAGGCAATATTACAGGAAGTGATGATTGAATCTGGGTTTTCGATCCCTTTAGAAAGCTGGAGGTCAGGGAAAGTTATTGCGCAAGTGGAGGACATAAATGAAGATAAATTCTTGAATGAAGATAAAGATGCAGGCAACTTCATGCACTGGGATCAAGGTGGTCCTAGAAAGGGATGAAGCAATAATATGGGAAATGACCAACTGACCTGTCTACTGTGGGTGAGGCAATAAAGGATATTTTGGAAGCTTTGAAAAGTAATACCCTGAGATTAGGTGCAGTACAGATGGAAGTCTGGAAGATGGAACTAGAGTCTTCAGAAGTAGCTGTTTGGTAATAAATACAACTGCAGGAACTGATTGGCATGTAATAAATGACAGTAGCAGAAGAAACAAAGAAAAAGCGAAGGGCAAGGAAGACTCTTTGAACTGCACAAAAATGAAAAGGAATGGAAGTTTGAAACTAAATTAATAAAATTCTCTCTAAACAAGAATGAGACTAGACTCGAAGTGTTGCTTTCACAGCTGATGCCAGACCTCCTGTGTTGCTGCAGCATTTTCTGTTTATTTCAGATTTCCAGCACCTGCTTTTGCATTTATTATAATAAAATTCTCTTAACTTGAGCATAAGCAGGAAGTAATACCATCATAGTTGTTAACATAATAGGAAAAGAAATCGCACTAAAGATCCAAATAGAATGAGACCAAGGAATATTCAACATGTGCTTGTTAGGCAGTGTTGTTTTAACTTGTATTTAAAAGATTCATCAACATTGGTTTAAATGTCAATACTGGAATATGTGCAAGGCCCACAGTGGGGCTTGAAAACTGCAACCTTCCGACTCAGAGTCAAGGGTTTGATTAACTGAACCAAGCCTGCTCCTCCTTTTTAACATACTGAAAGCACATTTGAAAATTGGTAAGTAGCACAGATTGTGGGTTTACTTGACTGTTAATTCAGACTGTGTCTATTTTGCAACTATGTTTTGGAGTCTCAGTACTTTACCACTAAAGACAACTGTTTATACTGCAGCCACTTTTAGTATTGTAAAAACCTCAATAACCTGCACTCAGTTCAAAAGAATGATCAAATATTTATAATGACTAGATTGGACTTAGTCATAGTCATTTTAACTTTTACTGGTATTCACATTATAGTCCATGCATTTTAGCCTACAAGTACTAATGAAAACTTTAATCCTTAGACAGGAATAAAAGCAGACCATGGGGATTCAAGGGTTGCTGCAGTTTGTTAAGGAAGCCTCAGAGCCAATTCATATCAAGAAGTACAAAGGACAGACTGTTGCATTGGATATGTACTGCTGGCTGCACAAAGGGGCTTTTGCATGTGCTGATAAATTAGCACAAGGAGAGCAGACTGATCAGTAAGTTCCTTTTACCTTCTTTTAACTCGAGTCATTTTGTTTACTTCACCATGAAATATTTACAGCTGAATTTTTTTGCATTTTTTTTTTTAGTTTGTTTGATAAATATTATTGGTTAAATAAAGCACCCAATGCCATGTGATGCAAATGACTAAAAAATGAACTTTTGCCCACATGCAAATATATAAGATTTCTAATTAGAGAAACCATTTTATAAGTTATTTCCCCTTGAAATGCTAGCCACTCACAGCTGCGAGGAAACAAAACTCATTTCAATATTAATGGTAAGGGGAGATGTAGAATTTATAAACTATCAGTTTAACAAAATGCCACATTATTCTTATTTTAATAAATGTAGTTGAAAGGTATGAGACTCCTGAGTGCAATATGCTTAAGTAGTCTTATTCTAGTTCCTAGTAAGTCTGTAGCACACAAATGCTTATATGTCATCATAAAATTGACTATTACCCAGAGAAGCAATAAAAATAAAAGTATTGTGCATTCTTCTGTGCTATACATGACAGTGGTATGCTTTAAAATTGTAGAGATGTACAGCATGGAAATAGACCCTTTGGTCCAACCCGTCCATGCCGACCAGATACCCCAAAATAAATCTAGTCCTATTTGCCAGCATTTGGTCCATGTCCCTCTAAATCCTTCCTATTCATATACCCAACCACTTGTCTTTTAAATGTAGTAATTGTACCCGCCTCCACCACTTCGTCTGGCAGCTCATTCCATACATGCACCATCCTCTGCATGAAAAAGATGCCTCTTACGTCCCTTTAAAATCTTTCCCCTCTCACCTTAAACTTATGCCCTCTAGTTTTGGACTCCCGCACCCTGGGGGAAAAGACCTTGCCTATTTACCCTATCCATGCCACTCATCATTTTATAAATCTCTCTAATGTCACCCCTCAGCCTCTGACACTCCAGGGAAAATAGCCCCAGTCTATTCAACCTCTCCCTATAGCTCAAATCCTCTAACCCTGGCAAGGTTGATGTAAATCTTTTCTTAACCCTTTCAAGTTTCACAACATCCTTCCCATAGCAGGGAGACCAGAACAGCATGCAGTATTCCAAAAGTGGCCTAACCAATGTCATGTACAGCCGCAGCTTGACCTTCCAACTCCTATACTCGATGCACTGACCAATAAAGGCAAGCATACCAAATGCCTTCTTCACTATCCAATCTACCTGTGACTCCACTTTCAAGGAACTATGAACCTGCACTCCAAGGCCTTTGTTCATAAACCACTCCCCAGGACCTTCACATTAAGTGTATAAGTCCTCCTCTGATTTGCCTTTCCAAAATGGAGCGCTTCACATTTATCTAAATTAAACTCCATCTGCTACTCCTCGGCCCATTGGCCCATCTGATCAAGGTCTTGTTATACTCTGAGGTAGCCTTCTTCACTGTCCACTGCACCTCCAATTTTGGTGTCACCTGCAAACCCTTGCTAACCATACCTCCTGTGTTCACATCCAAATCATTTATGTAAGTGACAAAATGCAGTGGACCCAGCACAGAACCTTGTGGCACAATACTGGTCACAGGCCTCCTGTCCGAAAAGCAACTCTCTATCGCCGCCCTCTGTCTTCTACCTTCGAGCCAGTTCTGTATCCAAATGGCTAGTTCTCCCTGTATTCCATGTGATCTAACCTTGTTAACCAGTCTACCATGAGGAACTTTGTCTAACGCCTTACTGAAGTCCACATAGATTACGTCCACCGCTCTACCCTCAATCCTCTTCGTTACTTCTTCAAAAAAATCAGTTGAATTAGTGAGACACAATTTCCCATGCACAAAGCCATGTTGACTATCCCTAATCACCCCATTCCTTTCCAAATACATAGAAATCGTGTCTCTCAGTATTCCCTCCAATAACATAACTTGTAACATTGTCTGTTTTTATTAACTGACAGGCTGGACAGCATTCATATGGAGATAAACAGTTAACATTTCACGTCAATGATCTTTGATCAAAATGATGTGCTTTAAGTTGCTTGCAAATATAAGTTTTAAGATTTGTATTTCATTTAAACAGCTTGGGTATTTTTTATTTGTGATTTTTTTTTCTCTAATACTTCTAAATTTGTGTTTTGTTTCAGATATGTTAATTATTGTATGAAATTTGTTGAAATGTTGGACTCATTTGGAGTCAAGCCAGTCTTGGTTTTTGATGGATGCACTTTACCTTCTAAAAAAGCAGTTGAAAAAGCTCGAAGATTGTAAGTAGTAAATGTCTACAGTGAGATTAGGGTTTTTGTGGTTTCAGAGACTTTCTTCTTATGTTTAGTAATGATAACTTGGAGAAAGTAGAGTCCAGGAGTTTCACTTTATTGTTTTATTTAACAGGCTGCATTTAAAAAATAAGTATAACTGGCTACATTTCTTAAAAATAACAAAACTCTGTATTAAAATGTTATTATTGTTTTCAATTGATGTGCTGTAGAAATTACTCAATATTCCTGAGGGCTGGATTATTGAGCATTAAATTGAGGTAAAGTTCTTTTGCGCTAGCTATGCAATATAATGTCAGTTTCTTACTCTCAGCAATAATCTGCTGTTATGTACTGCTGTTCTAATTTGTGTGACTTGTCTGTGCAGCTGTTCATGCGTGTGGTTAAGACACATTTATGCTTCGGTGGTTTTCTGCCTTACAGACGTAGGCAAGCAAACTTGCAGAAAGGAAAGCAGTACCTTCGCGAAGGAAAGACAAAAGAAGCTAGAGAGTGTTTTGCTCGTTCTGTCAACATAACATCTGCCATGGCTCATGAAGTCATAAAAGCAAGTGATTACATGTTTCCTTTCTGCTTCTGTAACTTCTACATAGAACTCAATTTGTAAGTTCAGAATTTTGTTTCTATCCTAGTGATTTTCAGGCCATTGTTTGGATCTTTCTAAAATACTGCGCAAATTCCCAGCTCTACATCACAAAGAATGTACATCATAGAAATGGGCTCCTTAGCCCAATGGTCCATGTCAGTATTTGTGCATCATCCAAGCCTCTTGCCTCTCCAATCTAATTCTGATGGCTTATTCCTCTATTCTTTTCTCCCTCATGGGCATATCTAGCTTTGTATTGAAGGCATCCGTGTTCTTCACTACAATAGCATACGTGCTCCCTCTGGTAGAACAGTACACCTTTCCCTGCTCTCTGGATCAAGACATTTCTGATTTCTTTATTAAAATTTATTAAAACAAGAATTTTTTTTTAGGAGATCCATTTCATTCCTGAATCTGATCTGTTCAGGAAGACAATTGATCTAAGATTTGGTAATGGGAAGGAAATCATCCTAGGTTTCCATTTCAGCCATTGTCTTTTGGTTTTGCAATAGCATTTTATATTGTCTTCCATTAAGGATTGCTGTGCAAAGGGAAATAAATAAGGCAATTTGCTTCAAAGGAAAGAACAGTTTCTTTCATTTTTTGTACTAACACAGGCAGCAAGAATGCGGGGAATGGATTGTATTGTAGCACCATATGAGGCAGATGCTCAATTGGCTTACTTAAACAAGATTGGCATTGCACAAGCAGTTATAACGGAAGATTCAGATCTCTTGGCATTTGGATGTAAAAAGGTAAATAGTGTTATAAGCGTTTTTTTGTTCTTTCAAATGAATGCTTTTATTACTATAATTTTTTAAAATAAGGTTTGAATAGTTTGACATCAGTAAAATTGTTATTTTAAGCAGAACATAAGTTGGATTGGTATTTTTCAGACAGAATTATTAATCTTTTTTTTTAAATCCCTGCCCTCTTACCATTTTGTTAAGAGTATATTTCTTGTTTTTATGCAGCTATTTCCTCATCTTCAGCTGAAATTGGCTATTTTAATACAGATATCGGATCAGACATTACATCTCCTGGTTGGCGATAGCTTAGTCCCCCACCTGACAAATAATTGAGATGACCCATTTTAACTTGACGTTCGAGTGAGATTGTAAAAGTTCTTTGAACTTGACTGTAGGAGTCACCCTATTACAACCTAAGTTATGGTTGCTTGAATTCATTTTGCAAACACCCATACCACAAGCAGTGGAAGACAACTTTCTGCAAATTGGTATTGCAATTTAAATACTGGAGTTGAAATGAATAGAAGATAACTTGTCATGTTTTCGTTGCACCTTTAGGTTGTACTGAAAGTGGACAAGAATGGGAATGGCATAGAAATTGACAGAGCTCAGTTTGGCAGATGTAAACAGCTCGGCAATGTTTTCACTGAAGAGAAGTTCAGATATATGTGTATTTTGTCAGGGTGCGATTATTTGGCATCCATTCATGGAATTGGCTTAGCTAAAGCATGCAAGCTTCTTCGGATTGCAAACAATCCAGATATCATTACGGTGGGTCTATGAGCTTATGCTTATTATACACTTAAGTAACAAAATAACCTACAGAAGAATGAGCAAGCATGAGTTAATTCAGGAAAATAAGGCAATAATTCTGAAGTTGCCTTTAAGGTTTATTAATGCAGAATATTTATTGGAAAACCTGCCCTGTATAAAGGAAATATTGGAACTTGTCTAGGCCACTGACTGCAACAGATGTGTCAATAATCATCATGAAGATCACTGTGACTTTGGAGGAGAAATTTTTCTTAAAAATAACAAAATGCAGTTCATGCAGATTCTCTACGGCTTTTGCTGAAGTTACAGCAGGAAGTCCTAGAACTTCTTCCCCATTCTCCCAGATGGACAAATTTGCACAGTGTTAATTGTTTTTGTTGATGCATGGAGTTTGATTTCTTATTCTTACTTTGCTATTTTCAAAATACAAAATGGTGTGAGTCTCCAAGTTCTATCATTGCTTTCACTGAATCTTTGGAGAGTCACACCATTTTGTATTTTGAAAATAGCAAAGTAAGAATAAGAAACTAAACTCCATGTATCAATAAAAACAATTAACACTGTACAAATGTGTCCATCAGGGAGAATTGAGAAGAAGTTCTATGACTTCCTGCTGTAACTTCAGCAAAAGCCCTAGAGAATCTGCATGAACTGCATTTTGTTTTTAAGAAAAATTTCTCCTCCAAAGTCACATTGATCTTCATAATGATAGTGAAGGACCTGCTTCATGTCTCCAAGTCCAGATGATGTGTGGCCTGGTGGGAGTATTGCAATTGGTGGTGCTCCAATGCATCTGCTCCCCTTGTCCTTCTAACTGGTAGTAGGATTTGGTTCGGAAAGTGCTGTCTGAAGAGAAGGTTCCCAAATTACAGTTGTACATCTTGTAGATGCCACTGTTCATCAGTGGTGAAGAGAGTGAACGTTGAAGGTAGTGGATGGGCTGCCAAACAAGTGGGCTGCTTTTTCCCAGATGGTGAAAAACATTGAGTTGCTAGAGGTGCACCTGTACAAGCAAGTGGAGAGTATTCCATCACACTCCTGACTTGGGCCTTGAAGTTGATAAACCAGCATTGGGAGACAGGAGATGAGTAACTCGCAGCAGAATTCCTAATGAAATAAATCTTCATTTCTATTGTTAGAATTGAATTATAGTTTTATTTAAGAGTACATTTTACTGGAAGTTATTTTGGACAATTTTGACTCTTAAAAAATAATGCCTGTTTCTGCCATGCTTTCTTTTCATCACAGGTTATTAAGAAAATGGGGCAATATCTGAAGACAACTTTAACTGTTACAGAAGAATATATAGATGGATTCATTCGGGCAAATAACACATTTCTATATCAATTGGTCTTTGATCCATTGAAACGGAAACTTGTTCCTTTAAACGCTTACTCAGACAATGTTGATCCAGAAACACTTGACTATGCTGGGCGGTATCCTTTACATAGTTCGGAATTTGTTCTAATTCGCAAAGCTTGTCAATTAGCTTAACCAGTTTTTTTTTTAAACAATTTGTTTATTTGTATGATTTTAAAGGGGGACAGAGGGAAGTGGTGTGAAAAAGACAAAGGAAAACAGGGATTGCTCAAGAGCATAACAAAAATTAGTGGGTTTATTAAGTCTTTCTGTAGATGATGGAATGTGGCTTTGTCTGCATCTTTTGGGCAATGGGCTGCACTATGTCTGGGTCATTTGATGGATTACACAGTACAACCAGGAATTTTTGCCCAAAGTGCAGAACTTCCTCACAGCATCAAATAATCCAATTTAAAATTTGACAAAATGGTTTTTTAAAAAATTGAATTTAAAGTTGACGTGTAGTAGTGGAAATTTATTTACAAATGTTTGCATGGAACATAATTTGCTGCTGTTGGCTTTGACTTATTCTGAAGTAACTTGTATAATGACTAATTTTTGCAGAGTGCTGCAGCTGCTTGTGGGTGTAGTAAAACAATTTGTAGCGTTGCATATAATGTCACGCAAGTTGTGTTCCAGTTAAAGACATAAGCGAATCCTATTGCACAAAAATCTCTTAGAAAAAAACAGCAGGGTTTAATTCGTCTCCACTGATCATTTTTGTAAATTTTAACCAGTTTGAGTCAAGGTTTGCAGTGAAAGTGAAGATAGTTTTTCAGCAGAAATGATTAATCTGTCTTAATTTGCTGCTGACAAACTACTGACTGCAATGAATACAATGCAATCCCACCTGTCAAAATGAATTTATTCAAATCTGTTAGAATGGCACTTTTGATGGGGTGGGAGAATAGAGAAGGAATACATGCATCTAATTTCTGTTATTGGGAAAATTGTCCCTAATTCAGTCAGGGGTGGAATATTGGAACATTTGCTTAATAAAAATTTGCTTAACTCAGATTTAAAATTAACAAGTGGTCCTGCATCCATTGCCATTTGTGGAGGAGAATTCCAAAAGTCTACCATCCTTTGTATGTAGGGATGCTTCCTAACATTTCTCCTGAATGATCTGGCCCTAATATTTAGACCATGCCTAGTTCTGGAATCTCCAACCAGTGAAAATTGTTTATCTACCCTGTCTTTTCCTGTTATTATCTTGAAGATGTTGATCAGATCATCCCCTAATATTCTAAATTCTGGAGAAGACAGGCCTAATTGTATAATCTCTCATCATTACATAACCCCTGACGTCCAGGTCCATTCTTGTAAACCTGCGTTCTCTCCCTCTAAGAGTATCGTATCTTTACTAAGGACATTTGGTGTTGCTCACTTACTTACACCTGGTATCAGGGTTCCACTTACCCTTGAGCTCCCAGAAATTTGGTGGTGGGATTGCATTGTATCCATTGCAGTCAGTAGTTTGTCAGCAGCAAATTAAGACAGATTAATCATTTCTGCTGAAAAACTACCTTCACTTTCACTGCAAACCTTGACTCAAACTGGTTAAAATTTACGAAAATGATCGGTGGAGACGAATGAAACTTGCATAGTGTCCTGAGCCTGCCACTACCACTGTTAGGTGTCCCTGCAATCCTTTGTGTTGGGGCTCATGAAGTACATTGAAGGCTGAGATAGACATCTTTAATTAGTATGGGGAAAAGACAGGAAAATGGAGTCAAGCGTTGTCAACTCCACTGCTCAATGAGATCATGGCTGAGCTGATTCGTTGGGTTGAATGGCTACTTCTACATCCTATGGAAATAGCATATCAAATATGCATCGATGGTATGCTTTACTATATCATCTGTTGACTTAATAAAAACTATTTTTCTTTGGACCATTCATTGTGCATTTTATTTGTGCCATCCTTTTATTTGGGAGCTAAAGTAGGTTTACATATTAGGCATTGTTGGATAAACAATATTGTATTATAGCTTAGAATAGTTCTTTTCCCCATTGATGGTTTGTCGTTTATATTTTGCACCTTAACCCAGCTACTTGTAGACATTTTGGTGATGAGAAGGCTCTTCATATAGCTCTCGGAAATATAGATGTCAGTACTTTGGAAACCAGAGATGATTACAACCCATGTAGTTTCCAGGTAATGTGCAACTGACATAATGATTTCAAGTTGCATGTGTCAATTTTAACAATTTCTATAAAGTCAACTTAATATGCTGTTTCAGAGATAGTAGGAACTGCAGATGCTGGACAATCTGAGATAAGGGTCTGGTCCCGAAACGTCAGCCTTCCTGCTCCTCTGATGCTGCTTGGCCTGCTGTGTTCATCCAGCTCTACATCTTGTTATCTCTTAATATGCTGTTTACAGTTTAATTATTATATATGATATCCTTTACAATTCTCTTGTGAATAAAAGGGGAAACATTGTGAGAAGTTACTAAGACAAAATGCCCATTTTAATTAGTTCCTGTGTCTCTGCTTTGGGATAGGAGTAGGTAATCCAGATGTCGAAACTAATACAGATGCTAATCCGTACATGCCCATGCCAAGAAAAGGATTGCCAAGTACATGCAGTGACTAGCCAGTGTTGATATTCTCAGCTCAGGTGCATTTAAAATCAGGTTCTAAATTAATTTTGTTTTTGTTCAGGAATATATTTAAAATGAATGATGAAATTCTGTCACTTTAATCAAACACCATTTTGTTTTAAGATCTGGGTTTCAATCGTTTTAGTTTATGCTGTAAAAGATTACATATCTGATGTTTTAACTTGAAATAGATGGATCTATGTTTGCTATTTTGCCCTCAAGCACCCCAGAAAAAACAGGTTGTTTCATTGCTGTTTATGGGATTTTGATAAATTTATTAAGGAGTTATGACAGCGGTAGTTACACTTCAAGAAGTTTGAGGTTGGTGGTGGAACACTTGTAGGGTGCCCAATGGTCATGAAAAGTACAGTGTAATTTCAGACTAAATAAAAAATTATATATCACTTTTTGTTCCAAGACTCCAGCAAAAATTACTCTTGGACAGAATGACAAAGAAGTGACGAAGCAGAAACTGCCACACATGCTTAGTATTTGGAGTAAAGAGTACAGGCCTTCTGAAAATCAACTTTTGGTCCCAAAGGCACAAATATCACCAGAAAAACCCTGCACAAGGGGTAAAGAGAAAGTTATCAACATTAAAAGATTAAAACTTCCCAATAGAGAGATGATGGCTAAAAGACCAAGAGAAGGTAACAAAGATTTGACTTGTTCCTTTTCTATTTTGTAGTAGTATGTAAGAATTTGTATTCTATAATGAAGCTCAGCAGGAAAAGTCTTGTCAAGGAATAAACAAATTGGGAAAAGGACAATCAGTAGAGTGTAAACTAGTAATGTTTATTGGATAATAAAGATTGGTGCTTTCCATTAATCATATGGCTCAATATACAAGTTGTATATTTGTCAGGACTGTCTTTTCCCGAGGATCCTGAGAACTCTGGAGTCTTTTTTTCAATTTCTTGAACCTGTTTTCTGAACCAACCTAGTTCTAACCGACTTGTATGATCATATGCAGCTTTTAGACTTCAACTCTAGTAGTTGCTTTTTCACTTTCAATGGATCAATAATAACTGGCCAGCTCTACATCTTCCCCTAAATAAATGTTTACTTGTGACCAAAGCCCGCATTGTCCCTCATCCTTCTGAAGATTTCATTGATGTTGAAAACCTAACTTTCCGCTGGTAATAGCTAGCCCCTGACTGAAACTACTCTTGGCCAAATCACTGAAGTAACTAGATCACACTGGGTGCCTCCAGCCACTCCTCTGCCACGTTCTCATCTTTTGAGCACCTCAGGTTATTCCACCTCACTCAACTTTAAAATTATGTCTCCACGTTGAGCTCCGCATTCAGAAAAAGACAGACTAGATAAAGATACACTATTTTCACTGGCTGGGGATTCTAGAACTGGGGGGCATAGTCTGAGAGTTAGGGCCAGACCATGAAGGAGAGATGTCAGGAAGCATTTCTACACACAAAGGTTGGTAGGGATTTGGAGCTCTCTTCCACAAATGGAAATGGATGCAAAATCAGTTGTTAATTTTAAATCTGAGATAGATACATTTTTGTTAAGCAAAGATATCAAGGGATATGGGCCAAAGGCAGGCATATGTAGACAGACCACAGGTCAGCCATGATCTCATTGAATGGTGGAACAGGCTCAAGGGGCTGAATAGTCTACTCCTGTACCTGTGAGAAATGCTATCTTCCAGCAGCCTATGCTCTGAATGACACTCCATCCTTAATATCAATTTCATATGTGACTTGGTTTGCTATTTCCTCTGGTCTCTCTAAAACTACTGTCCTGATTACAGAGCCATCTTAGCACATGTCCCTAGATCCTTGATCATCAATCTTCCTATTTTCTGTTTGACTTAGCAGAGTCATTTTCCACAGAGTTGTTTTCAGCTGTGGTTCCAATACGCAAGTATCTAACCTTTTTAACCTTCTATTCACCTCAATGCTTCTGCAGCTGATGATTTTTAACTATCCCTTGCCCTAGCCTCCAGAAAAGCACCCTGCTTGTTCCAAGGAAACAGCCTAAATTTTTGCAGTCTCAAGGTACATGCTAGTGCATGTCTGATGTAACCATCATCACTGACCACCAGACCATATCAGGCACCATTTGAGCCTTGCTGTTGTTTGCAAAAAGCCAGTACAGGATCAATCTTGGAAAGCAAAGAATACTCTTGGTTGGGTGGGGGGTCTTTTCCTCTGAAATTGAAATTTCTAACCTCAAGATTTAATTTCTTATGTGGTAATGCATTGAAATGGATTTTTCTACAAACTACTGTTCTGTGATCAAGAAGATTTCTAAGATGAAGCACTGTTGTGTTGACATGGTTACAGTAGTGGTAATATTCCAATGATAGTAAATGAAGATATCAGTCACATACTTGTTTAACAGTGTGATTCTGAGTTACTGTTTATTTAATTTAAATCCATAATCTAGGTATGTTTTTGATTTCTAACTATATACATTAGCATTGTCTTAAAGGTAGTTTTTGTTTTTGGTTACCAGATGAAGGTCTTTCGGATGGAGACTTGCTAAGTCAGTACTCCTTTCCAAGTAGCAAAAAACAAGTTGTTGAAAAGTGCCTATCACCACAATCTCCTTCAGAAGAGGAACAACACTCATTAGTGAGCCACTCGGTCAAGGATGAAAATCCAAGGTCTCATCATAAGATGCGGAATCGGTTTGCTACCATTTTGCAAAAGAGAAATCAAGATTCAGGTGCCATTGTTGTTCCTGGAACCAGAAGCCGGTAAAGTGATTAGTTTTTGTTTTCGTTGAAAGCTGTTTTCGTGTCATTAATCCAGACCCTGTGGCTGATCTTTATGTAATCAATGCATTGTTCTGAGGGCAGTTCTGTAACAAGATAGTTTGCAGGTACATAATTCAGAAGTGTACTTTAGGACAAGGAAGGATACCAGTCTTTTTGTTTTCTGTAAAAACATCCGTAATTTTCCATAAATTAAGGTTATTTTCTTGAGTGCAACCTCTGGTTACTACTGGTCACTCTGAGACATATAGGCCCAGGGGAATAAAAGCCAGTAGTTGCTTGAAACTCCCTTCCTAAGTTTCTTCATTTGTGTAGTTGTGCCAGCCTGACTAAATTCTCTTGACTTATGCTAAAGTCCCTTTAATTAGAACTTTTAGGTTAGACTAAATGGGCACACAATCCCACCATTCCCACATAACTGTTCAGAGAAGCCAGGTTTGCTCTGATCAAGAGCAGCCATTGAGTGCACTGTTCAGAGAGACAAAGTCCAAATTTGGAAATGGTCCCACTGTTTTGGCAAGTACTAAAATTCTGCTCATTATTTCTCACAGATATTAACCCTATTATGCAACATTAGTTAGAATTAGGTGGACTGTGAATAATCTGTAATATACTTGATATTGGGTAAAAAAAAAGCTGAGAAAATATTTTCCAAAGCTTAGATTGATCTCTTGTTAATAATCCAAACAGTTAATCTTTCTCTTTTTACCTCCCTAAGAAATGAAATGAATGTTTCCATTTTGAATATTTTCAATGTATTCCTGTTGTAATTCAGTTTGCTAATTTTGTGATTTTGTTATGCAGTCAGTAAACTAAATGATTCGGCCTTTAATTTTCAGATACGCAATTAACTTAAAGACAGCTGTTTTTAAAAAAAACAGAAGCTTGTTACTGTATTGTTCATATAGCTTTTATCAAATGTATTTAGATTTATATCTTAGATCCATATTTTCCTCTTTGTGAAATGTTATCTTTGGACATCACTTCACTTTGCATTTGATTTTTCTCCCATATTTCTTTTGTAGGTTCTTCTGTAGTCCCAAAGAAACTTGTGTTTCATCTGATCAAAACACTGGAACCAAAGCATTATCTGATGCAACAGAAAGATGCAAGGATTTGAACTCAATTAGTTGTTTTAATAGCGAGGAAAATGACATCTTTACAAATATAAAGAAAAATGGATGTGAACTTTTGAACACCAGTCCTAAAGCCAATACGGCTCGCTCAGATTTGAATTTAGTGGCCAGAAAAAATATAAGTGCTTTCAGTTGGTCTGGAGATCTGGGAGAAAAATCAAGAAAGCCCAATCCTGCTGCTGGTTTATCTGTATTGCAGCAATTCTGCAGAAAGGTGGAATCTTCACCTGTAAGTGGAGATATTGACAGAAAAGTACAAAGCAATCAGAGTGCAATCGAGAACAAGCCAAGCCTTCTAGAACTATGTGAGGAATCCATAGATGATGACTCTGAAATGATGGCCTGCCCACAATCTCCTCTTGGTGTTAGTTCTTCTCTGGACAGTTCATACAGTGGTTTTGATTCCTTGGGCTCTTCTCAAATGTCGCGGAATTCTGACTTGGATGTAAGATGCTTTGTGCTTACATTAGATTAAGAATTTAATTGAAATGAGAAATTACATCAGTTTGTCTAATAATGCACTTATCATTGTTCCTCTTTTATGAAAGGAAACCAGTAACAAAGCAACATCATGTGATCAGGTTTGCAGTCCTGTCACTCTGCCAGAATTACCTGAAAAAGTGATTGTAACTGTAAAGCACAGGGTAAATGTACTGTTTCTTTCTTACTTTCCAGACCCATATAATCATTCTTTGGCGAACAGGTTTATTTCCAATTTTATAAAAATTTTAAATGATAGAATTTGAAAGCTCTTGAAAAGTAGTCTAGCTTGCATATGTTCTCACTGGTGGGAAGGGATGCCAAAATCCACTCCAAAGTCCAATCCCCTGAAGACATTCTCTCTTGAATTCTTCAGTCACTTTTTAGCTGATTATTCCAGTGTCGTGTACATTGAACAGATTACTCTGTTTGATACTGTGATCTGAAGGACATCTTTTTACTCGTTAGAGATGGTGATGGAGAAATTTGGGCTGAAAATGTATGTTTCTTTCTATTCTTTTTAAGAAGAGGTAAATTGTAATTCTCCCGGGGAGAAGTTTACTTATTTGGTAGCCGATGCTTAAACAGATATATTTTGCCCTTAATTCTTGGTTGTAGCATTTCTTTTAATGCAAATCTGTGACCAGAGGTGGATTTAACTATAACTGTAGATTTACCAAATGCACGTTTTGTTTAGGTTCCTGGGTTGCAAAAGCTGAGCCCTGGATCTTTAAGAATGTCCACTAAACTGAAGCTTCCAGGACCAGCCAAAGCCAGTGGTTTAAACAAAAGGTCACTGTCACTACAGAAAAGGACATTTACCTCAAATAATGAGAACACACCTGAACTGCAAGCAACCATCCGCGATTTATGGCAGAAATTTGGATTTAAGGGGTAAGTACTGCTAGCTGAAATGCTGCTTGTTTTAGGACATTGCCTCTTTCATGCTTGCATTTCCTGTCTGTTAAGACTGAGCCATGATACATGATTTGATCTTATAGACTGGCATGACAGCCAAGAGCTGTGTGCATCCTATAAAACCTTGATGAAATGAATAAATTAATGGGGCACTTTTCAGAGGAGGAATAAAAAAGAAGAATGAATAATTGAAGGAGAGACTTGCTTTCTAATGGCAAAACTTGCTTTTATTGAGAGCTTCCCGTGTAATGGTGGTTTGCGACTGACGTTGGTGACTGCTTACTTCTGTTTTTATTCATTTGGCTCCAATCATTAAGAAGAAAACTATGAATCTGAATCTGGGGTGTAGCCTCTTCTGGTCCATTCTGTGGATGAGGTGCTTTGATAACTACATGATCTAAATCTTGTGTACAATTGACATGTAGTAAATGTGTTGGCTATCAGCATGGTTAGCAGTAAGTAATCCTCACTTTCGTCATGCCACCAATTTCTCCACTCTCTAGCAATGTGAGCTCTCCGGTCCAGCTAGGTGAAATGTATCTAATATGCACCTGGCTTCTTTGTCCTAAAATTACAATAAATTAATGTACTCGACCTGGAGTTTTGGATGATCTAATGTTGCAAATTACACATTTTTGTGTTCTCATCCTGCCTGATTTGAGTTGAACTTTGTAGTTAACTGGTTCGGCCCCATATTTCAATCCTGCTGATGAACTTTGTTTGTTTGCTGCAAGAGTCTGTACGACTGCTGGTTGATAGGGCTTTCATGATTTTTGTGATGTCAAAGTTTTCTTCACTTGGTTTCTTGGACTACACTAGTTTTAGAATATGCAAGAAGCTTTATACAACTGGAAGATGAAACTGTTCTACTGTATCATTGTTTCTACCCTACAACACCTACTGCAAATGTGTGTACATCAAAAGTGTACACGTATTTCAGCTGCTCCTACTTGCTTGTAAACTACAGTCGCTCAGTAATTTTGTGAAGCCTCTGTACTTTTTCACTGTTTCCCCTTCATTTTCTGTTAAATTTCAACATGGAAAATCAGGCAGGGCAGATGACTGAGGTGTCAGTGTGGGAGCACTTCGCTGCCAGTGACCACAATTCTAGTAGTTTTAAAATAGTGATGGAAAAGGATAGATCAGATCTAAAAGTTAAAGTTCTAAATTGGAGGAAGATCAATTTTGATGATATTAGGTAAGAACTTTCAAAAGTTGATTGGGAGCAAATGTTTGCAGGTAAAGAGACATCTAGAAAATGGAAAGGCTTCCAAAATGAGGTAATGAAAGTCCAGAGATAGTATGTTCCTGTTGGGGTGAACGGCGAGGCTGGTGGATGTAAGGAATACTGGATGACTAGAGATGTTGAGGTTTTGGTCAGGAAAAAGAAAGAACTATATGTCAGGTATAGACAGCAGGGATCACGTGAATCCCTAGAAGAGTATAAAGGCAGTAGGAATATATTTAAGAGGGAAATCAGAAGGGCAAAGGGGACATGAGATAGGGTTAAGTAAAATCCAAAAGGATTCCACAAATACATGAAGGACAAAAGGGTAACTAGGGAGAGGAGTGTGAAGTGGCAGATAGAGTTTAATTTAGATTAATGTGAGGTGTTGTATTTTGGAAAGGCAAATCAGTGCAGGACTTATACACTTGATGGTAAGGTCTTGGGGAGTGTTGCAGAACAAAGAGACCTTGGAAAGGAGGTTCATAGTTCCTTGAAAGTGGAGTTGCAGTTAGATAGGATAGTGAAGAAGGCGTTTGGTATGCTTGCTTTTATTGGTCTGTGCATTGAGTATAAGAGCTGGGAGGTCATGTCCTGTACAGCTGCAACATTGGTTAGGCCTCTTCTGGAATATTGCATGCAATTCAGGTCTCCCTGCTATAGAATGGAAATTGTGAAACTTGGAAGGGTTCAGAAAAGATTTACAAGGATGTTGCCAGGGTTGGACGGTTTGAGCTATAGCGAGAGGCTGAATAGGGTGGTGGTATTTTCTCTGGAACTTTGGAGGGTGAGGAGTCACCTTGCAGAAGTTTATAAAATCATGAGGGGCATGGATAGGATTAATAGACCAGGTCTTTTTCCCGTGGTGGGAGAGTCCAAAACCAGAGGGCGTAGGTTTAAGGTGAGGGGGGGGATAGATTTAAAAGCAACCTAAGGGGCAACTTTTTTCATGCAGAGGGTGGTGCATGGAATGAGCTTCCAGAGGAAGTGGTGGAGGTGGGTACAATTACAACAATTATGGCTGGGTATATGACTAGGAAGGGCTTAGAGGAATGTGAGCCAAAAGGTGGCAAATGGAACTAAATTTATTTAGGTTGTCTGGTCAGCATGGATGAGTTGGACTGAAAGGTCTGTTTATGTGCTGTATGACTCTGACTCTATCTCAGCTTTCAGAAAATTGAAACTAAATATATCCTTTCCATTGGAAATAGTGCAGTTTTTCAGCAAATACTAAGAAATTTTCAAATTCGGGCCATGATAAATTATATAGACAAAGTTATATGTACGCATTTATTTCTCTATTTCAGTTTCTAACAAAAGATTTTTGTTCTTCATAGGGAGTCCAGGAAGCTTCAATCGAGTCAAAAATCTCACCCAATGTCTCCTGTAAAGGACAACTTGCAAATATTGACCCCAGAGACTGATCAAAGTATTTTATTGAAATCAGAATGTTGTTCTGTTCAAAGGGCCATACAGTGGTGAGGAAATCCATGAAGATATTTAAACTAGTTTCAATTTAACTAGGAATATTTAACCATAATGAATTTTTTTTATTTTAGCCAGGATAAAAATATAAAGTTGGTGTAGATCGCAAGGTGCCACATATCTGCCACTGGTAGAAAATATGCTGGAGATGTGTAATAGCAGTTATTAATATGAAATCTTTTACAATGTATTTTAATGACTGAATTGACTGAAGACTTGAATGTTACTGTTTTGAACACAGCCTTGTGAAAGGGGGAAACTGGTTGGGGGAGCAGGTAAATCTGTTCAACAGCCTCCCCTCAAGTTACCCCTGTTGAGCCCCACATTCCCTCCCCACTGAGAGACCCCTTGACTTACCTGGTGCGGGACCCCAGGACTACTCCAGGTGGCTTTGCTGCCACTACATAGCTGCTGGCCAATCTACCCAAATTAAGGGTATTGAGGGGCAACCATCCTCTGTGGGGATGAGTCACTGCTAACTCTTTGGGTGAAGGCACAGGAAACTCTGGCACCCATTAACTTCCGTACTTGAACACATAACCTGGATAAGCATTTTTAGGTGGAACATTAAACCAAGATTTGTCTACTTTCTTGGGTCAATATAAAACACTGTACAGTACTATTTTGAGGACATGCAGCCCGGTGTTGTGACCAATATTACTTCCTCAATCAATATCATCTAAATGCAATTACCCAATCATTGTCATTGCTGTTTTTGGAATCTTGTTGTGCCCTAACCGACTACCTAACTGACTACCACTTTATTTGCATTATAACTGTAACTTTAAAAAAAAAAAATCACATCTGGAAAAGGTTTTCATACATCACAAGTTTGAAAAATCCAGTATATAAATGCAAGTCTTTCTGCAATAAGAGCAAGGCAGCTAAGCAACCCAATTTAGGATGTGTTTTTCAAGATGCCACCGGAGGGGAAATATTTCCAGTAATACGCACAGTCTGTCACAGATAATGGTAAATGCTGCTAAGTTGCCAATATTTGGAGTGAGGGATTGTCCATACTACTTGTGGAGTTTACACAGTCATTCCCACTGCTGCTAGTGCTCCAAATTTTTCCCTAGGATGTGAATAGGCTAGATTCTGAGCAATGGCAGTCTGATCACATTGCATCAGTTGGAAAAGCCCTATAAAATGTGCCACTTGTTATTTTACTCCAGTTAAAGTGAACGTGATCGTGTGAAATAGATCTTTAAATATTTTACAGAAGAGAAATGGATTCATGCACAGGACAGCAGTTTTTTTCAGAAATTGACTTTCTTGTATTTTCATACAAGGAGTCAGTTTTGTATCTACAGTAGTTCATTGACTTGGTAAAATATTCTGAAAATAAAATCCTGAAACACATTGTGTTTGATTTTATTACAAACACACATACACTGTACAATGTCTATTCTGTTGTGTTCCTTGGCCTTGTTTACAAGGTGTTCTAAGAAATTTCAAAAACTAAATACTGAATAATCATGATTTTCACAGAAGAGTCAACAGTCACTGTTCAATGTCAAGTCTTGCTAACATTCTAAAAATGAGTTAATAACAATAAAACTTGGCCTTTCAGTCATCGTAAAGCAGTGAATCTGAAGAACTTAATGATATGGCATATGGTAGTAATTAAAGATCTACAAAAGACCAGTGTCAGGAAAAGGTTGTGGGGGGAGGGGAGGATTCTTTTAGGTTTGGTGGGCTTTTGGATACTAACTGGCAATGTCTGACAGAAAGCACAAAAGTGATAAAAGAACAGGATTCACTGCAGGGTCAGAAAAGAGTCTTAAGTGAGTTGATCTTTATCTGGAAGAGAAAAAGAGGCCAGCTAGGAGAGCAGAGCCTGGAGAAGAAAACATTATAGATGAAGCTGAGGTAAAAGCAGAAATGGGCAATATAATGAAGTTCAGATTCCGTGTTCTTTGTTTTGGACTGCATATGGAGTTGGCTCCTCAATATGGAATTGAATAGCATGCTAAGATGTTGAACAGAAATCTAGCCTGAGATAAGGTTAGACTTAATGGAAAGGATAGAAGGTTTGGGATGAACGATTGAAGACAATGGCTTTGGTTTCCATTATGTTTAACCGGAAACAATTGTGTCTTATCTAAGTAAGTTGGTGGACAAGCAATCACATGTATGTGGAGATAGTAGAGGGGTAAACTGGTTGTACATGTGCCTGGCTCAATGTCTTTTTTTTGTTGATTTCACCCTGGGATCACAAATGGGGAAGGGATCAAGAATTAATGTTTGGAGAGATGCTGTTACTAATTGTTTAGGGAAGACAAAGTAGTCCTGTTGATCTGTGATTAGTCAAGTTGAAGGCTGGAAAGAAGTTGAGGAAAAATTCAGCATGGTCAGAAAGAATGTTTGTAGCTGATTAAAGCTATTTTGGTGCTGTAACAAAAAGTTAGATTGTAATATGGGGTTTCTTTAAAAAATGGATGTAAATTTTGGTGGTCACAACATTCATGTGGTTCACAAAATGGTCTAGGATCAATTTCTTGAAGCACGATAGTATAATGTGAAGGTTTTTTTTCCTGCCTGTGTCAACATGTGCAAGAGTACTAATTAGTCTTTTGCTCACTAAATTGTTCCTTGTAAATAGCAATGGTGAATTAAATTATTTCCTATATAAAAGCTCTCTGTAGAAATGATCTAAAATGGTATGAGTTACAATGTTCTTCCTCAAAGTGGAAAATGTAAGCCACTCCTACCTTGCCAGCTTCTGGAGGCAATCTAGTTTCTTTAAGTGCAGTGGATGCTAGAGAACTGAAATATAAATAGAGATGGAGAAACTCAGCATGTCTGGCTGCATTTGTGAACAGAGTTTATCTGCAGATGCTGGATCTGTTGAGCTTCTCCAGCACTTTGGAAGAAATTTAAAACGTTGTGTTGCACTTATCTGGAGATGGTCCTATGCTCCAAATAATGTCACTTTCCAGGATTTTTTAAAAGTTGCAGCAAATGTGGGTGTCAATAATTACTTCTCCCTATTAATAAACATGGCCAAATGCTTTACAAAAAAATGCTTGAAATATGCAGACATTTCAAATTGAAACTTGTAATAAAATTTATTGCTATAAATTTTAGTTTTACTTCAGATTTGCAATTTGTGATCCTTGCTAATGTAAGGTCAGATGGCCAAAAACTTGGTCAAAGAGCAAGGTTTTAATAAATGTCTTAAAAGAGGGAAGTGAGGCAGAGAGTATAAGAATAGTAGTTTGGAACTTTAGGGCCTAGGTATAACCAACCAGATCTAGAAAATTAATGCAGATAACTGAGAGGGTTTTGGTGCATGAGATTACAGAGGGACAGGCATATCAATGGGAGGCTTTACAAATTTGGATGAAAATGTAAGGGTTGAAGATTTCATTTAATCAGGACCCAGTTGAGATCAATGAGTACAGCTGCACTAGGTAACAGGACATGCTGAGAGATGAGGCAGAATTTTGGATGATCTCCAGTGTGCAAAGGGTAAAATATGGGATACCAGCCAGGAGTGCATTGGAATAATTGGGTCTGGAGGTAGCAAAAGCAAAAATGTGTTTTTCAACAACATTAGCTATGACTGGTGATATTTCAGAGATGGAAATAGGCAGTCTTAACGATAGTCCAAATGAGAATTCAAATGCTCACCTCTGATTAAATGTGAACAGACTAGCTTTATCTGTGACTTATTCGTGAGAGGGATAGATGCGGTAGCTAGAAATGACAGGAACCAAAGCCGGTTTTCCCATTGTTTAATTGGATGAAATTTTGGCTCGTGCAGTCTTGAGTGTTAGGTGAGGTCTGATCATTTAGCAACAGGGAGGAGTTGAGAGCTGGCAAGGTAGGACACTATGGATTTGAAAACTCATGGTCTGGATGATGTTGCCAATTGAGCTCAAAGCTTTAACTTTGTTTCACTCAACAGATGTTGCAAGAACTGTTGACTTTCCCCATGCCTTGTTTTTATTTTGGATTTCCAGCATCTGATGTACTTTGGCAACATCATCCGGAGCCATAATAAAAGTAAAGGACAGTTGGTGGATGGGAAGTAGGAAGGTGGGGCAAGGATACAGTTATTTAATCTAAAATGTTCACAAAAAATGCAACAACAGCAACACAATCACACTTCATAATCTTCAAGTTTCCCTGTTGTTTTAATTTAAAATGCCAGCAGATGGTGCAGATATATTTCTTAAAAGATTTGCCTATAAATGTTCCTTTGAGGCACCAGTACATAGCTTGGTGATCCTTGGGCTCCAGGTCCACAGCACCACCTGCTGTTGGGAGTAGGGTATTCAATTCTAAACTTCTCAAAATTTGACATTGAATTTGATTTTTGATGTGAAGCCAGTGTATGTGAACCTTTCATTTCAAGAAGTGCTACCTAAATGCAAACGTTATTACAATACTTGTCCGAGATCAAGGATGCTGGACCATTGATTTCTTATCGGACTTGGTTATGGTTTGGTGACCAAGGGGCAATGGGCAAAGCTGGAGTCGAACAGTAGTAAAACAGGCAAGGCAAAAGCCACATTTGCCACTGCTGTATTTTTAGGTTGAGTATGGATTTGTGTAAGTAAGTGTGTCTTGACGTGCTCTGTAGCTGTACAGATGTAACCACCCCCAGTGTTGATTAGACAGCCCTTGATAATGTGTTTTGAATAACCTTTAGCCTCCGCATTGCAATGTCAACTTCTATAAACAGAAGGATGAACGTTACTATTAAATTGTGTCTCGGGTATAAACTGACATGAATGTATTTCTTCATGGACAAACAAAAACAACAAAGTTACTACTTCTGCACTATACTTTGAAATAGCAGTTGGCACATAAATCGTGATTTTCACCTTGTGAAATGTTTGGTTGCAGCACAAAACTTAAGTAATGTTTTTTTTTAAAAAATTCAACAATTTGTCAAAGTTTTGCACCTTGCATTCGACAGGACATTTGATACTTAAGAATTGTCCTCATAAGTGCAAGATGAAAAGCTTAGACAAAATATGCTGTTTTTCAACAATATTCCCAGTGAAATGACCGGAAGTTACATAATCATATGATACAATATGGATGACATAGAGCTCTGCAGTGGAATTGCCCCTACCTCTGAGCCAGGAGATTTGGATTCAAGTCGTTGACTCTGGCAACTATCTGAGACTGAACAAGATTCTCAAGTCAGTATCTAGTCAACTCCGAAATAAGTCTCCAAACACATCACTTTCACATTACAAAGCAGTTTACTTCATCCCTAACTTTGGCGTCTCCAACCCTGCCTCAGCTCATCTATGTTCTTGTTACTTCTTGACTTGACTCATGCATTTTAATGCTGACTTGGTATACTTAGTATTTTCCATCTTTCATAAACCTTAGCTTGTTGCCAATATCTTGCATGCCCAATTTCCTGTCACCCATCACACCTCTGAACTCCTGGAAATACGTTCTTCCAATTAAACTACGCTTCTATTTAAAATTTCTCATCCTAGTTTTCAGATTCTTCTATTGCTTTGCTCATCCCCACTTCTGTAGATTCCTCCACCTCTACAACCTTCCAAGATGTATGTTCTCCTCCAATTATGGTCCTTTGCTCATTCTCTATTTTTCAGAACATGAATAGACCTGCCCTGCTATTTAGTACAATTATGGGCTGATATATTCAATGCCTGTCATTCACCTATCCCCACCATCCTGTACACCACTGGTAATAAGAAATCTATTAATCTCTGCAATAAACATACTCAAAGAGGGAGCTTTCATAGGCCTCTGTGATAGAAAATAAATATCGATCACTCCTCCACTGGATGCGATCTGTTCTTCAAGCTGTAGAATCTCCTCCCTAAATCTTTCCTTTCCTATCTCCTGCTTTTTAAAATCAAAACCCTCACCCAGTTTTTGGCCATTCACCATTCATATGGTCATAGATGGCTTGGGGTCAAATTATGTTGTATCATATGACTTATATAATATGTTATCACATATGAATAAACCCACCACACAGAGGAGTAACCGCTGAGGACCTATGATGAATGAAAGCATCCATGGACATCGTTCTCTCATTCTAAACTCCTTTGCTCATCCATGTAGCTTTGATCTCCCAAAGTGTCAACAACCCCTTTGAATTCGTTCTGAATTGGCTAAGGCCTCTGTATGGCTACAACATCAGTGGGGCTGCCAAGACCATCCAGGCTGCAGCTTTGGTCAGTCCAGCAATGGCATGTTATCAAGCATTGTCCACCAACTTGAAGGTAGACTTCAGGAACTCTATCTAGCCACTGACAATGCTATGATTTCGCACTGTAATCATATTCTAGTGCTCAATAAACAACATAATAATCCTGAGAGGAGAAGAATATTGTTCATGGATATTTTAAAGCAGAAAGGAGACCTTTCAACCCACCTTGTGGGATCAGCCTTATTTAGTGG